CCACCTTCCTCAAAGCATTCCACTCAGTAGCGAATTGAGCAGAAAGACTACCAACAGGTCGGCGACTGAGTGCATCCGCCACCACATTCGCTTTCCCTGGATGATACTGTATGGAAAAGTGATAGTCTTTCACAAACTCCAACCACCTGCGCTGTCTCATATTCAGCTCCCGCTGAGTGAACAAATACTGCAGACTCTTGTGATCGCTAAACAACCTGAAGGACTCACCCAACAGATAATGCCTCTAAATACGTAAGGCAAAGACCACCGCTGCCAACTCCAAATCGTGCGTTGGATAATTAAGCTCATGAGGCTTAAGCCTCCGAGATCCATACGAAATCGGTCGCTCCTCCTGCTTCAAAACACATCCAAGACCCTACAATGAAGCATCCGTGTAAACCAGATACTCTATCCCGCTCTGTGGAGTAGACAAAACTGGTGCAGAAGTCAACTTAGTCTTCAGTTCATCAAAAGCTTCCTGACAATACTCATCCCATATGAACCGTACACCATTCTTTGTCAAATGGGTGAGTGGTCCCGCTATCTTTGAGAATCCCTGGATGAACCTCCTGTAATATCCTGCCAAACCGAGAAAACTCCAAATCTCGGTAGGTGAAGTAGGCTGTCCCGACTCAACCACCACTGAAACCTTGGCCGGATCCACCGCTATTCCTCTTTCTGACACCACATGACCCAGAAACTTCACCTCCCGCTGCCAGAATTCACACTTCTCGAACTTGGCATACAACTGGTGCTCACGAAGTGTCTGCAAGACTATCCGTAGATGTCTAGCATGATCGTCCTTAGACCTAGAATAGATCAAGATATCATCAATGAAAACAATAACAAACTGATCCAAATAAGCCCTGAAGACTCGATTCATTAGGTCCATGAAAACTGCTGGTGCGTTAGTCGTCCCAAACGACATGACACGGAACTCATAAGATCCATGTCTCGTAAGAAATGCTGTCTTAGGAACATCCTGCTCCCTAACCCTTAACTGATGATATCTAGAATGCAGATCAATCTTGGAGAAGTATGTGGCTCCCCTTAATTGATCAAATAGATCATCAATCCTGGGTAAAAGATACTTGTTACGTATCGTAGCCTTGTTTAACTCCCTGTAATCTATACACAGACGGAGCGAACCATCTTTCTTCTTCACAAATAACACTGGTGCTCCCCAAGGTGAAGTAGTCCGGCGAATAAAACCTTAACTGAGTAGCTGCTGAATCTGATCCCTCAGCTCGCGCATCTCCACTGGTGCCATCCTATAGGGTGCCCTAGTAATAGGCGTAGTGCTTGGAGCTAAGTCTATAATAAAATCGATCTCGCGACTAGGTGGCAACCTTGGAATCTCTTGAAATATATCCGGTAAATCCTGTACAATCGGTATGCTATCCAATGATACAGTAGTCCCCTCCTCCGTTTCCTCCTCCACATGAAGCAAATAGTTGCTAATGACTCCACTAGAACACGGCATGGCGATGACATACTTGTCCTAACCAGGTATGGTAAACACAATAGACCTATCAAAACAATTAACTTGGGCATGGTAATGAGACAACCAATCCATCCGAAGTATCACATCATAAGTGTGCATGTCCAGGACCAATAGATTGGCTAGAAATCTGAGTCTGCCAATATCTAGTGTCACAGGCCCATCACTTTCATGTAAAATACTGTGTCGCCCTACGGGCCGCTTCTCTTCATTACCGATTGTTCCGTCTGGTTCTTGCATTAGCCATTCTGTCGACATAGAATGACAGACATCAGCACGATTAAACTGAACCGTAAAAAATACAATGAATCCTTATACTTAAGCTCTAATAAAGAGAAAACGCTACGCAGAAGTCTTATACGATAGAATCCTAGAGACCCTTGAACCTGGAGTGCTTTGATACCAACTGTGATACCCCTGAGATCCGAGACACGGGTTGATCAGACCTAGGCCCAAACCCGAGGGAAATATCAAACAATCAATATATAATTGAACACAGAATATAAGATGAAATAAGAAATAAAAAAAATAATAAACTGAAAGAATGCTAATTGAAAATCCTTAAAATATAATTATTGAAATCCAATACTCCAAAACTCCATAAGGTTAACAACTCGGGAATCCATTCAGTGGACCCCTTATTAAAAAATCCCAATAGAAACAAAAATAACAGAAATAAAATCTAAAGCTAAACATAGAAAGAATTCCTACGTAGTCAGAGGAATGAATGTCTGTATCTGCACTGCACGTCCAAGCTCTAACCCTGGAACTGACGAACACCTGAAAAATAAGAGAGTGGGTCAGGCCCACATGCAAGTCCTATTCTACTCCAATCCATACAACAATCCGATACGCAGATACATCATAGGAAGACTCAACAATATCTAGAGTAATCCATATGTATATATATAGTACACACTATAGGACGCTCACTAGTCCAGTAGGTTTGTCTCAACCTGAGTAGAGATACCATGCAAATCGCACATAATGTGGTCATGTGTACCTAGACCTACTAGGGAACAACACCTATGTCCAGTTATCCATCCTAGGCGATATACACGCCTTAACCATGGTCCTGAGACTCAAGCTCATACCATGGCACCATAACATAAATATATAAAGTCCATGTCCTCCTAATACAGAATATCATCCATCTAATATAGTGGCGTGATATCTGTATAACAATTCATCCTAGAAATCTGATTGTGTCATTCAGTTATTTACTGACCTGACACCAACAGACCTTAATCCAGATAAGGGAAGGCTTAGTATCTGAACTAGTCCGTACCTAGTATGCCACCGTCCCATACCGGTGCACACCATCCTCCATTTACCATAGTTGACAAAATAATTAAATAGTTATCAACTACATTCCAAAATAAGCACAACTACAATCTAACATACGTAAAACTGAATCATGCATCCAATAATAGATTTAGAAATCCTGTTCTAATCATTTAAATTAATGAAGTACAACTACGCATTTAACTCCTCCAACTAGTCCATAGATTTACATAGTTATGTATATTTCCACATCAAGCACTCCAAATTAAGCATAAATATTTCAAGTAACCAACTATGCTCAATACAGTGTTACAACAAGATTAACAGAATTAAATCATGTAAACATAAATTGCTAAACAAATGTCAGTAAGCCATTTAAAGTAACTGTCCAACCTTCCACATGCAAGCTTCCTGTTTACTCTATGTTGTTTCATGTTACAACATAATTGTATTAACATACTTCCCAGTATTTCTACATGCTTATAACAGTTATATAGACGATAAACTGAAATCTAAACAACTTATAATTAATCCAAACTGCACAACAGAACCCCAAACCATCGAAAAATCACAAAACTGGAGGAAAATAGGGTTGGAGCCACCTCTAGAACATTGGAGCCGGCTCCCCCCTAGGTGGAACCGCCTCCACCTTATGTGGAGCTGGCTCTACCCCTTGTAGAGCTGGCTTTACAAGCCCTAGAGCCGGCTCCACCCTTTTGGTGAGCCGGCTCTCCTCTTTTGAGAGCCGTATCCCGTAACCTGTTTGTCTTCTTCGCCTCCAGCGAAGTCTAGAGTGACCGTACAGTTTTGAAAACTTATTCCAGGGTTCAATTGATGTCCTAGAATTAATTAAAAGCATGCATTCAATCCTAAATACACAAAGGTTAAGCAAGATTACAACCAGTGCAAACAGATTCTTAAACAAGAATAACTTCTTATACAACAACAGATTTATGCAATGACTTAAAAATTAATTCAAACATGCTTACAAGATCAATATTAACTTTAATTTAATCTATTTTAATGCTTGATTAATCCCTGGGATCTAAATAGGCATGCACAGAACACGAATTAAAGGGAAGGAATAGGATAGTGACTTGCCTTGAGTTTCATATTTTGAAACTCTAAACCACTATCTCTGAAGCTTATGTCCACGTTCGAAACTCCTGTTCTAAACCTCAAGTGCTCTTGGTTCAATCCAGAAGCACTCCGTCCAGTGTATCCTTGAACCTCTCCGTCGACCTTACCCGTTTTCACTCTCTGTATCTCTCTGTCTCACGGTATACGTATCAGTGAATAGGGTTTTGTTGTGTAAACCTAAACCAACGTATAATACTATATTTATAAGCTTTAGCACAACCCTAATTCTAATAGAAAACCAACCCTAAGTCGGCTACATCTGTGTAAATAAAACCCTAATATAACTATATGTGTGCCTCCATACAGTCACGTTAAAACATGTTAAATATAATTAACTTAATTCAATTAAAACAACTAAATTACATCAGTTAAACAATTATCTAATAATTAATTTAAAACAATTAATGCAAATATAAACAAATCGCCAGTTAAATAAATAAATCAAATAACAACAATTAAATAAAATACTTAATTCAAGGAAAAATAAACAAATAAACAATTAAACAAAAATAAATGCAATGTAAACAATATAATAAATACCAGGACTATCCTTTTGAAATTAGGGGTATTACACATATGTTTAGAGCAACTATCATAGCAGAAGTATTTTTTACAGTCAACCCATTTTACTTTTTGTCTTCTGATTTTGCTAACATTACATTGAAAATTATGTTACTTTTTCTCACTTATACAACTATTGATCTTTACTCCACATGATAAATCATTTTATCTCCAGTAAAATTCACAAAAGCTATTATAAGAGCAGTCAATGATGGGAGTGTTGTGTTGGTGCTAGAGCAGTACTTGGTGTTGAAACCCTTTCAGCTTAAAGCTTTCCCAATTACAATTCAATCCAAACCAGTGGTGTTGAAAGGGTTTCTCATTCCATGGATTCTCTGTGGACTTCTCACATGATCATGCAAAGATGTTTTAATGATGTTTTGTGATCTTGATTTTGTGTGTATTTGTTTATAATGTCCCTTATTTTTGAGTTTTTTTTATTTAACTATCTCCACTTAGGGTGTATTTTGGTGTTATATTTTCTTTAATTGATGTACATGTACTTGAAATGTAGTCTTCCAAAGGGGTTGGGAAAAGACAACAATGGGAGCGTCGATTGCATGGCCTATCAAGTACATCACAATTTGTAAGTTATATGGTCTCGATAAAATTCTTTTATGATTGCACATTTTTAAATGGGGGTCACATGCTTTTAAGTGACCAATTTTGTGGTGCATCTTGAACTTTATTACCTTATTGGTACATCGGCCCATGTGGAGGCCATTTTTATTTTTTGTTTTAAAATGTTGAAAGCATGGGAGTATGGGATCATCGTATGTGGAGGTTTTGATTGATTGTTGTGGAGGAGAAGTTGTCGATATGTTGTTTAAGGAGTTAATGCAAGTTGGCAACTTAATTTTTCTTAATTTTTTTATTTTTTTTATGTATTAGTTGTTATTCATATTATATGCATATGATTGATGTAAGAAAAAATGGGGTGGATTAATTACCTTGAAAAAAGAGTGCTATAGTCACATCTGTATTCTTGAGTAGTGCTTCTTGATTGTGTCCACTTCTCACAGATACACCTTCCTCTTCACTTCTTTTGTAGTTTTTTGCTTTAGCTTCCAAGGCAGGTTGTGTCCTCTTCTATGGAGCTGGAGGTTTTGCTTCCTTTGGAACCCTTTGTTGCATACCTCACAAATGAACCTATTTGTTGCCGTTAGGGTCTTGGGAGATAGTGCAATTACCTCCGCATTTGGATCTGTTATGTAGGAGAAAGAAGTCGAAATAGTGCGATAAGTAGATAATCTTGTACTTTTAAGATGATTAAAGGCAATGTATTAACCAAAAATTAATTAAAAATAAATATATAAAAAGAACTACTATATTCAACTTATAACACAAATTATGATGACAAAAGATTGGAAAGAGATCAGTTTAGAATGAGGTGTTTACAAAAAGTCAGACTTGATATCCCACTATTTTATAATATTGTGTATATATAATACACATTTATACACACACATATATATAAAGAGAGAGAAAGGATAAGCTGGGATTACAGAAGACTTAAGAAGTTTGTAGTAATACTAGTATGGAGGGCGGCGTCTCTCATGTCCCTACCTCTTTGTGATATGTCCAAGTATTGTCAACTATTTTGGTATTATGGAAACCAATCTGAAAATTGGCTACTCTTAATTCTCTCCAATGAATACTATGCAATCCCTTTCTCAAAATCACCACTACATCTCTCATTTTAGCGCTCTCTCTCTCTATAACATACAGTTGCATTACATAGAAATATACCTCCTACAATGGTAATGATATCTGAGAGTAAGAGAGATGATGATCTGTAAGGGCTTGCGTTTTTATCATTTTTCCGAACATTTTAGCATTCATGTATTTTATTTTTATTGTCAAAAATATGATGATCTTGCAAATGTGTATTAAATCAATTAAACATCATTATGTGTTAAAAAGTATTATAGACTTTATTATGCAAATGGCATATTTGTCAATTAGTATTTCATAAAGGGCATTATGGACTTTTTGTTTTACAAATGGCATATATGGTATTTGATTAGTTTATAAAGGGCAAAGTAGACTTTTAATTATACTAATGGCATAATTGGCATTTAGAATTAATGGAAGGAGATTTTAGTCATTTTGTTTGGTCTTGCCTTAGACTCATTATAGGCTTGACATGTGTGGGTGTATGTGGCTGCATTGTGTGTGTGTATTGATGACTAATGTATTTCATGTTAGAGAATATGCACACAAATCATTTTCGGCAGAATGTTAGAATAAAAACTTTCCTCCTCCATTGTCATTCTATTTGAGCTTCAATTTGAGTCCCTTGTGGTAGGATTTTTAAGTTGTCTTGTGAAGGAAAAATGTTCTTGAAATCATGAGTTCCCCTTTTTGTGTACAAGTTGTGGCCATTTTATGAATTCTGGATTGTCCAAATCTGATTTGAAAAGGGAAGGGTTGGTTGAATTTCAAGAAGTGTTCTTCATCTTCAAAACTTGGTAACTTTGATTCATTCTTTGGGTTGCTTTAAATTGTTGGTAGCTGAATTTCAAGCTTCAATTGAGGTAGGATTGTCTAACCCTCAATTCCTTTGCCTTTAGTGAGTTAATCTCTTTCAATTTTTGAGTTGCAAAGTGTATGCAAACAAAACTGAAATTCTGTGCTGCTGAAACTGTTAGGCTGAATTACATGCAACTGTTTTGCTCAAATTGATATAAATTCGTAATTTATCATGCAGAGATGATTTGGTATTATGATAATATAGTGAATTAGCTTTCATTGAGAATTGGTTTCACATAAATTGGTTGAGAAATGAATTTACCATGAAATTTTGAAGTTTGAGGGTTCTTGCTGGAAATTCTGGGTTGGGGCAGATTCTGTCCGAGTGTTTTTCATCAAACCTGCTTTAGATGGTATGGTATTTCGATGAAATAAAATTTTATCTTAAAAATATAGTCTTTGAAATTTCAGTGCCCTTTGGATTCACTCAATTTGGATGAAAATTGAATTTACTATGAATTTATGAAGATGGAAGCTACAGGCTGGAAATCAGTGTCTGACAGATTTTTATTTCGAAATTGTGGATTAAAACTGTTCCAATAGGGGAGGGATTTTGTTAAAATAAATTTACACTCTCAAAGTACATTGTTTAAGCTTTCATTAGGCTTTGGAATCACTCAATTTGACTTATAATTGAATTTGTTATGATTTTTCAAAGATGGAAGCTACAGGCTGGAAAACAGTTTCTGGGCAGGATTTATTTCGATCTTTTAGGTCAAAACTGTTCCAATTGGGAAGGGATTTTGTTAAAATAAGTAGACACTCTCAAATTACATTGTTTAAGCTTTCATTAGACTTTGGAATCACTCAATTTGACTTAGAATTGAATTTGTTATGAATTTTCAAAGATGGAAGTAACATGCTGCATGTGAATTGTTTACTGTTTAGAAACTTCGGAACTTGACACAATTGTGCATTCATCTTGCATCGTCATGGGGTTAAGATTAGAATGGAAAAAGGAAGTGAAAGTTCAGTAAATGATTTTAAAAACCGGATAACAGGGAGGTGCCTTGTATCCGCGAGTTTAGAAAGTGGGATTGATTCAATGATTTCAAAACCGGACAAGGAGTTGCCTTGTTTGTGCAGTTAATGGGAATCTAGAGAAGACGTAGGAGTTGCCTACGCGTAATTGTGTCACTAGGCCCCAAATGATTACAAGGAGTTGCCTTGGATCAGGGATAGATGATCAATTCTTTTCTCGTGGTACAGGGAGCAGCTCTGGCCGGATTACATTAACTTTTTTGTGATGGAAATTGGATTTTGGGAAGTGAGAAGTGTCAGTGGCATTAGCATTAGCATCCGCATTGCATGGCACTTCATTTTATTATCCTACGTGACATTATTTCTCTCCTGAGTTTATATGATCCCATTATCCTTTATCTATTCTTTGTTTGGATTCACGGAGGTATTAAGGAGTGCGCTTTAGGCAATTCCTGCTGAGCTGTGGTTGCTCATTCCTATTTTATTCACATCTTTTCAGGTCATAGCATGGACGGTGTGGAGGGTGTTCCTCCTCAGCTGTAGACAGAGTCGGGGCTGGTGTTGTTGTGTTATATTCCGCATGATAGTTTATGTTTTGTCTTATATTTCTTTAGAATATTTCTGGTATGTAATAAATGTTATTTTGCACTTTAAAACTTTAATGTTGTAATATTGGCATCTTATCTATTAATTTTCAGTCTTATTTTTGTAAAGGGAATTAAATAGGCTGATGTGTGGTCGAGATAGGTTACAGGGATATTTTTCTGATTTTGAGACTGTGATTGTTTGTGTGTTGTGTTCACAATCCGGACTTTGGACTAGGGGCGTGACATGATCAATTAGAAATCTAGTACCAGAAAGGAGTGAAGCATTTGTGTGAAAATGGCATTACAAAACTTCCTAAAAAGTACATATTGCCCATTTCAGACTGATCCAATTCATTCAAAGGAAAACCATACCAGTCTCAGCTTAGTCTCAAGTTGCCCATCATTGATTTTGCTGAATTACAAGGTTCAAACCGGTCTCAAGTCCTCATGTCCCTCGCCAATGCTTGTGAACAATATGGATTCCCAACAACAAAAAACTGAAAAAGCCATAAACTAGAAGACCTAATAAGAATCAAATTTGGTTTACAATAGTACCTAACTCTCAAATCTAGAAATTCCATGGATGTCCAAGGGGGAAAAAGAAAAAAAAGATACAGGTTTGATATAACCAATTAGTTGGATCTGAAAGTAGAGACAGGTTTGCCCCTGGATTTTCAATGCTTGTATGACCTTGCAACGCCTAACATTCACCCCTTCTTTTGGCAACCAAAAAAACTAAGGTGTGAAATTATAGTGTTAACAATCAATTTGGACTTATGCCATAAAGATCAACAATTGAAGCTATTTCAATATAAAAATAGATAAAAGTGCCAACAAAAATAGAGAAAACTCATAAATATTAAACTTTAATCCTAAAATACCTAATTTATGCACTTTAAAGGATGATGATAGAAACACAACCAGGTAAACTCCATGGAATTGGCTACTAATCATGCAAAATAATATAGCTGCTTTTTTCATAACTTTACTAACTAGGATGCCCATTTATTGTCAACTATCATATCTTCGCAATAATACATGCTCGAAATTGTATAAACAAAATCAGGATGCCATTTTTCATGCAAATGATGTGCCTACATAGTTTCAAGATTGTATTACAGGAGGCAAAAATTATTTAGTATGAACATACTTCTTTTTTTAGTTCTATTTTCCACTGAAATAAGACTTTATACTAGACCTATTTAAATTTCTGGAAGAATGTTCAACTTTTTTTTTTTTTTGAGGGAAAAGAAGAATGTTCAACTTAACTGACTTTAAAGAGTAATTTCCAAGACTTAAAATTCTTAAGCTCAGACCTTAAGTTGCGCAAGGAAAAGGAAGGACTTTTATTCATTTTGTTTAGTTAGGTGGGAAGGAAATGGTGTATGCATAATTTAACTGTTATACCATTGAATGGTTAAAGAAGATGTCTATCTACAAGGGCAAAAATGCAAAAGGAGGAGTAGAGATGCTTCCCTCCCGGCTTCCGCCCACTTTATGGCGGAAGTATATGATGGTCTCAAAGGGAGACCTCCTACCTATTATTTTTCTTTCCCTCAGCCCTTTTATCCACTTGCTTCTCCCCACTCCTCCTCCTCTTCCTCTTTCCGAAAAAGAAAAAAAAATTCCCACACCAAGCATAGCATAGATGTAACTTTTTTATTTTCCAGTTGCTGAATAAAACCATTTGCAATATGAAATTATCTTCCACACTCGGACAAATCCAAACTTAGGTAAACACGAAGGAACTTCCTTTAGGGACTTCACCAAACTGTCCATAAGAGACTATATGCAGCACATTCATTTTATTTCCCTATGAAATTCCTATATTCAGAAAACCGCATCTTCAAACAAAATTTAGAAAGTTCTAAAAAAAGACCAATGTTCATTTGCTCGGAAAAAATTTCCCATTAATAAAATGAAGAAACAGAAGGTCATCTGCTACTGATTAAAATAATTTCATTTAATAACATAAATATCTATATAAATTAATAGAACAAGGATATATACTTTTTTACCTAACTCATATACACCTGGAACATATGCAGTCGACAAGATGTGACCAAAACTGTTAGGTGCTTATGGTTTCCTAAAGGCAGATGCCGCACCCATGACAACAACCAAAACAATGCCAAGACCAGCACTAAGGGAAACACCTACAGCTATAGCAGGCAGAGGTTTCCTTGGCTTGAGAATCTTGATTTGCATCTGCTGCAATTAGTGCATGTTCTTGTGCCAATTCCATCAAAAGCCTATCTCTAGCAAGTTCCTTTGAAATAAAGTAAAATAAAAAGAAAGAAAGTGAACTTCAGTTTTTGTCCCCAAGCATATTAATTGTGTTGTTATTTTCATTGTCTCTATCTATCATGAATGTTCTTGCGTGTGTGTGTGTGTGTTGGGGGGGGAGGGAATGGGGTTAAAGGTAAATTAATTTGAATTATAACAAATCTTGTTATTGTGAGATATTATTTGAAAACTTAAAGTACTATTATATAGTAGAAGCTGATGATATTTCAGGTAGCCTATATAATTACGAAGCTAAGTGCATGTAACTAGAATTCTAATTAATCTCAATGGTTCTTTGGTTCATCTCAATTTGATTATGATATAGTACATTGAAGATTTGAAGGAGGACTATTGTAGTCATGCATTATTACTCAAATGATTTCTTTTGGTGATGGGATGTTAATGACCCAAGATATTGAGTTAATACGAAGAGTCTATTGTAATGCTTGCTTTGTTTGGTTTAATTTTGACAACTTTACAACTTGCTTTACATTCTCTGATTTCAACTATTACATCTTTGTAGGTTAAAGCTAGGATTGCGGCTGCCGTTACTTTTTTTTGTTGCCGTTATATTTTTTATATCGCTCATGAAGAAGTTGCATAAATGTAATGGAAGAGAGAGACTGAAACAGAGCAAGAGGATATAAGAATTTTTGTTTTATTTTGGTGTATGGTATAAGAAGTAAGAAATTTGTATATGGTTAATTTTTGTCTAAAACAATGATTTGAAATTTGTTTTATCTATATATATATATATATATATATATATATATGATGTTGTTGGTTAGTTGTAAGTTATTTTGGTTATGATGCTATTTTTTATTTATTTAGTGTTTGCTTATGGAGTTCTTGCAAGGCTAGTAGCAGGGAAAAAAAAAGGCCTCATGGGGGCTGCACTAATTTTTTTTTTTTATAAATTATATACCACTTTAAACCACGATTTTGAACCGTGGTAGAAAGCCCTTTTTCAACCACGGTTCTGCACTGTGGTAGAAAGACTTTCTACCACAGTGCAGAACCGTGTTTGAAAGAACGACTTCACAGTTAAAAAAGGACTTTCTACCACGGTTTTGCACCGTGGTAGAGGACTTTCTACCACGGTTATGCATCGTGGTAGAAAGTCATGACTTACTACCACGGTTGTTTCTACCACGGTTCAAAACTATGGTAGAAAGTGTTTTCCACCGTGGTTAAAAAGCCTTTTTCTTGTAGTGTAATGAAGATCAAATCAACCAATTTTCACCAATAATTTCCTCTTAAACATCCAATGAATAAAATCCTTTCAAGAACAGTAGAAATCATATAAATAAGAGGAAGAAGATCTTTTAACTCAATTAGAATTATAAATCTGGAAGGAAATTATTGAAGATTATGGCATAATTTATGGAGAAGGTTGAAGAGAGTATGAATCATGAGAAGAGAAGAATGAAAGAGGCCGCACGAATGGGGGTTTTATAAGCTGTTTATAACCCGAGGCTCGAGCCTAAGGATTTGGGGCTCGCGCTCTTGATTCTAGAACCCTAAAATTGGCGATGCAGCATGGCTCGAGCTCTGTGGTAGTGAGCTCGAGCTTTGGAAAATTGGGCTCGAGCCCTTCAAACAATTTTTTGTATTTTTCATTTTTTAATTTTTATAAACTATCCTAAGTCTAACCTAAACTAAGAATAAAAACAAAATTGCTAGAAACAAACTAAAAACCTAGAAAAGAAAATCAAAAACCTATAAAATAAAACTAAAAATAAAGAGAAGAATAAAAATAAAAACAAAATCACACCAAACTAAAGTACAACATACAAGTGCTAAGTTTAACGTCGATAGCTCGATGATAACGGACCTCTCTAGTCCAAGTAAATAGGATTATGAAGTTTTACGGTCTCCACTGTGCCTCTCACACACTATCCTTTATGTAGGGTTTCGGTCTCTGTCCATTGACCTTGGATACCTCTCTAGTCTTGGTATTTTATATCTCTACCGCGCCATGGGGTGCAACAGAAATAACTACGTATGGTCCCTCCCAACGTGACCTTAGCTTCCCAGGAAAAAGTTTTAGTCGTGTGTTAAACAACCAAACCTTTTACCCGGGCTCAAAAGTCTTACGCAATATATGCCTTTCATGGAATGCCTTGGTTTTGGATTTATAAATTTTGGCACTCTCGTATGCATCATTACGTAAAATTCTTCAAAGTCAAAAAGTTAAACTCTCCTGTTAGAGGCGGCTGAGTTCAAATCGAAGTTAAGCTTTTTTATGGCCCAGAAAGCTCGATGCTTTAACTCTATAGAGAGATGACAACCTTTACCATAGACAAGATGGTATGGTGACATGCCAATCAGAGTCTTAAAAGCTATTCGGTAAGTCCATAAAGTATCGTTCAGTCTCAAGGACCAATTTTTACGTTCTGGCTTAACCATTTTCTTAAGAATGTTCTTAATCTCACGATTGGATATTTCAACTTGGCCATTTGTTTGGGGATGATAGGGAGTGGCAACTTTATGATGGAGTATTTGGATACTAAGGAATGGAAATACCTATTATAAAAGTGAGCACCTCTATCACTAATAATAGTTCGTGGCATACCAAATTGTCTAAAAATATTCGGTTGAATGAACTCAACCACGACTGCATGGTCGGCGATTTTAGTAGCCACTGCCTCAACCCATTTGGACACATAATCAACAACTACAAGAATGTACTCATAACAGTGTGAACGAGGAAAAGGACCCATGAAATTAATACCCCAGACATTAAATACCTCAATGATTAAGATCGGAGTCAAAGGCATCATGTTCCTTCTAGAAATTGATCCTAACTGCTGACATTGAGCACATAACCTACAAAAATA